AATAGAAGATGTCCGTATACTCAGTCTCTCGTGACTGAGAGCTCATGCCTCTGCAAGCACAAAGCATATCTCATCTGTGTCATCTGCATGTGTCTCGATTCAGTGAATAAATGGGGAGCAACCGTCATTGTCCACTCACTTCGACCAATTATTCTCAGATTATCTTCTAGTGCACCGCCAGGTGGCCTTTCCGACACTTTGGGGCCGTACCTGCCTCGAGTATTAGATCTTTAGTTCTTCATCTGGATCACTTAGCTTGCGTTTGGATCTGTACGGAAATAAAATTGCACCAGACAAAATCGCATCAGCGTAATATGGCGGTATAGTGCAGGAAGAATGAATCAGAACAAATCGGAACATCGCTGGCATCAATATTCTCGGGTCCCTTTCAGTTCTTTTATTATGAATTGGTCTAAAGGGCCGGGCCGGGCCGGGGAAAATTCGGCCCGGCCCGGCCCGCGATTTCACAAGTATGATTTTTTGGAAAAAAGCCCGGATATAGAATTTATTAAAATTTCTAAAAAAAAAAATACAATTTTCGGGTTTTTTTTGGCGTACAAGTCAAAAAGCCGCTCAGGTAGAGTTTTTAAAAATTCAGCACCTGGTGGTATTGAACTTGCAATGAAACGTTCCTAAATCTACTGCGTTACCCACTGCACTATACCTCTAACACCAAAAAATAGGTGGCAAGGTGAGGCTTGACCCTCACCGATGCTGGAACTCGTCCATTTGAAGCGCCATATCTTGGTTCCTAGGTAAGATGCAAAAAAGCTGTCAATTGATAAAATGTGTAAAATTGTATGATAAATAACTTTATAGTTTACAGTTCTTTGGTACCTCCACTCCTAACCAAGATATACCGCTGAGATAAAGATGGGCACCGAGAGCTACTTGGCTAATTGCCCTTTGAGCTTGAAGAGCCATATCTTGGTTCCTAGGACAGATACCAACAAATTGTTAACTGATGAAATGTGTAAAACTGCATGACAAATAAGTTTGTAATTGGCAATTTATTGGTACCTACTCCTAACCAAGATATGCCGCCTAAACCAACTGGACCCCAAGAGCTACTTAGTTAGTTACCCGTTGAGCTTGAAGCGCCATATCTCGGCTCCCAGAGCAGATCCAAAAAAGTTGTTAACTGATGGAATGTGCAAAATTTCATGACAAAGAAGTTTGTAGTTAACAACTTTTGCTTATCTCCACTGGTAACCGAGATAGACTGCTCTAGCCAAGGGTTTTTCAGTTCTACTATCAAAAATTCTTTGGTAACCGGAATATTTGTCTCCGAAAAAGAACAAGCTTTAGTAGTGAGCTAGGTTAAGAAGAAGGACGTCCCCCAAAATCGAAAAACCAAAACTCAAAATAAAACAAAACTCACATTATTACTAGAATGCGGTCCATCGGGATCATCCTCCTGCACGGCTCTCGTCCTCACCAACCTCCTCACTCCAGTGGTATCTGACTGTTGTCGGACCATTGAAGCAGCCGATAGAAGGGATCTCCGATCGACA